TTATTATTATTATTATTATTATTATTATTATTATTATTATTATTATTGTTATAATTATTACTATATTTGGTATATATTTTCATTAATTATATTATATTAACTTATTGATTTTAAAAAATTATCAACTCTAACATGGATTCTAATGTTTATCAAGAAATGACATTGGCATGTATTTAAGAGCTGGATATATGAATGGAAATCAATATCTGTTATGAGTTTTAATAAAATGTCCCATGGATATTAATTATTGATTTTTTAAATACGATTTTTCCGTTTATAAAAAAAAGTCATAAAATATTTTTCTTATAACTACAAAAGCTGTTTTCTATGTATTTTTTTGATGACGTATTTGCCAAAGTTATTTTAAAATAACTGATAAACGATGGAGAAACAACAAAACTTATTGTTCAATTGATACGTTTTCTACGTTTATAATACTATATACTTAGAAGAAACATTATGTATCAATAGTGTTAACGAACTTAAAAATAAGCAAAGTTATTACATTGTTCATAAACTACATTATTTAGTTTATTTGATGTGATACCTTTGATCTGAGAGGGAAGGAGAGGTCGGGGAGGAAAGCTGTAACTTAATATGAAGCCTTCCGCTCATATAATGATTTTCACTGGTCAATATGTATTTTGTTAATTATTACACTATGACAATAACGGTCGGTTAGATTTGAGAAAGTAAGACATGCGGTTTATAATGACATTGAAATTAAAAATAAATCACAGTAGATTTGATTTTCGTCTCAACCAAAGTAATTGTACTTGCAAATGAAAATAATACCTATTCTTCCTACTTATCAATCATTATACATTAGACAGACGTCACGCAAAACATCATCGGAGTGTATCGGATGAACAATTTGCTTTTCCTATCGCGGACCATCGCCGTAATTAGATTATAAATTTGTTGTCAACCATGGTTTCAGATTTATAACATTATAATTTCTTAGGAACCATTTATTTCATCAATTTTATTGGATTACAGATGTCGAATAACCTAAACATTTGTTACTTCATCGAAGACTTGGTTTCATTTTGATTTAAATAATTTTTAACTTGAATACCAAGAATTATTATTTTGTAAAATGAACACATTAAACGAGATAAATACCTAAGATAATAGTAGATACATACTACATATAATATATACAAATAAAACTTAATTAATTAATGATTTATCATTACAAATGTATTTAAATTCATTATCCTTCATCAAATTATTTTAATTGCATATTCAAATAACTGCCGTCACATAATACATCCTATGTCGTAGAATGGGGTATTAGGATATTGTTCAATACTAAATTCATTTTTTAATCAATGTGTTTTTCATAACTTATATTTTTTTGATATTCAAATTAGTTTAAACTAACAATTGAAGAATAAATAGTTAATAAAATATTTAAATA